CATCTGGTTTTGATGATCGTCCTGAAGCATACATGGTACCATGTCCTTCAGTTCTGGCACAAAGTCAAACATGACTCTTACACAATCTACCAGTTTTTCCCACTGATCTAGGGACAACAGAATACATTGGTTGGTAGGTATCACTCTACCACTTTTCTGATCATTCTCCCACTGTCGCACATCAATACCATTGTCGTCCCAGGAAGCGTACATGTTCCCTCCAACATGAACGTGTGAGTACCTTCCCTGCTGTTTCAGCTGCACGTGAACACTAGACACTTCCATCCAGTGTTTCAAGGTAAGCACGATGCCTCGTTTGGTTGGGTAGCACTTGCCACTCGGGTATACTTCGTACTTCCTCACATGAATTTCTGGTTTTCCATTCCATGTCTTGGCTGTCACATAGACGTCGTCCCCTAGATGTAAATGGCATCTGGGATTTGGAAGTGTTAACAGGGCCTCGTTATCACAACTCAGAATATTGCGGTGAACGGATTCCATTTTCAAGGCCAATAGAACCAGTAGAGTCAAGAACATAGAATGGAGAAGGGACGTCGTCCGACTGAACTGTGTATGATATGGAGGGCTGTTCGGGGGACCTTATATTACCCACCAGAATCCAAAAATAGACACACCAGATGTTCACACAATAGATCTCAATATACAATAGAGAGCAGTGACTCATCATCTAAAAATAGACTCAAAACCATGGACCTCATTATAAATTCAAAATGGACGATTTATTCTTCAAGTAGCATCCTTACAACACCTCCTGTTGCTGGCGATCTATAGCCCGTGTTTTATATTGCATTGCCTACTTAAATTTAAATGTTTTAGTTGTCCATGCTAGTTTTATATCCATATCTGTGAGTCCTCCTGCGAGGGTACGTAAGTCCCAAAACATCACAGCCATGGAGACTGCACAACGCTTACCTGGTTTGAGAAGGATTTCCGATCAAACTGTCAGGAATCGATTGCATGAAGTGGGGATTCGATCAAGAAGGCAGGTTGTCTCCCCTGGTTTGAGAGACTTCCATCGGCGCAATCGCTTGCGGTGGTGTGGTGAACTGGAACCTTAGAAACTGGAAGCGAGTCTGCTTCAGTGAAGAATCACGATTTCTTCTTCACCGGCTAATTCAGGGGAATTTAACAGCAAATCGGCACATCAACGAAGTCATTGTACGTCACATGCTTTCGACTATGAAACGACAGAGGGAGTTGTTCCAGCATGACAAGGCTACTTCACATACAGCACGCGTCACGGCCCGCTACATTACCAATTCAAACGTCATTGTCTTGCCATTAGCTTCCCGATCACCAGATCTAAACCCGACAGAACACCTATTGGATGAACTCAATCCATGTGTACGTCAACGTCTACACACGCCTCAGACACTTCCACAACAGACCATCGCATTGCCGGGAGTGTGGGGAAGAATTCCACAAGAGCGACTCGTCAAAGTATCCACTCTGTGCCGAGACCGTGCCGGGCAGTAATTGCTCCCAATGGTGACTTTGACGCCATCTTGTGGACTCAAGAAAAACCGAAACACAACAATAAGGGCTGCTGTTGTGTTAGCGAACTGTGTCTCTATAGACCTGTGAATAGTCACCTTTATACCTAACCATTGCAATTACATGAAATAATGGCTCTTAAACTAACGCAATAAATCTTCCAATAATGGCTTTTGCCTTTCTTTTTTTTGAAGCGTGTATCTCTGTAACCTGCTTTTGAGCCAATCCAGATTGCTTTAGTCTTATCTATATGTATATTCTTAACCCTGACATATTGTAAAGGGTATTAATGGTCCCAATAGCAGCAGACAGCCTTTCACCTGAATCATCCAAATTCGGTAACCTCAGCATATTGTTGTAATTTATATTCTTGTTCATCAATCATAATACCCTTTATGTCATCATTTTGTCTTACCATACATCCAAGGATGTACAGCTTCAAAAAGAAACAAATATGGCGATATTAGATCGCCATGCATGTAACCCCGGTCATTAGGGATGAGTGAGTGAGTTAGGTTTTGCGCCGCCTTTAGCAATATTCCAGCAATATCACGGCGCGGGACACCAGAAATTGACTTCACACATTGTGCCTATATGGGGAATCGAACCCGGGTACTCGGCGTGACGAGCGAACGCTTTAACCACTAGGCTACCCCACCACCTCCATTTGGGAAGAAATCAGAGAGGTGTCCATTCTGAATAACACATGAAGTTTTAGAAGTTAGTAGATTAATCCAGCGTATAATCTGTAGCCCGAAACAGATTAGTAAGACAAAATTGATAAAATCTTAGGAAACAGTGTCAAAAGTTTTTTCAAAGTCAATTAAAATCTCTTTTCTTAGTTTCAAACATAAGATCATATAATAACCTTGTATTTTCACTAAGTGATCTACCCGGTATAAATCCAGTCTGGATTATGTATCAAAGAATCTAAGGTGATTTTTAACCGGCTAGAGATACATGCACTAATTATTTTATACAGAGGATTTAGGTAATTGGTCTCCAGTTCTTTAATAAGGTCCTATTTTTATTAGCTTTAGGTGTGCAAGTGATAACTCCTCTGATCGTGGTAAGAGACATCTTTTTCTTCTAGGAATATCTTTGATAACTCTAAAAATCCAAATGTTAAGTTCTTTTCAAAATCTATATGAAATTCACCAATTCCAGGGCTTGTGTTCTTCTTCATGCCTTTTACTGCGAATCATATTTCATTCATGTCTATTTCCTTTTCCGATTTGTCTTTTAATTGGTCACTCAAGATTGGAGCTAACACACGTTCTATGTGATCATCATTTTTATTTTTGTTTATAAAATTCTTTCAGTTAAAAACACTTAAGATCGATTTTAATTTACTGTCAGTAATTCTCTCATTCCTATCCGCACTAATTCTATCTCTTGATTTGCTGACATAATTCCTATTTTCTAAATGGCAAATATATTGTGTTGCTGTTTCTCCTTCATACCATAAGATTCTGTTTCTGAGTTAAAGTTTTCTTATCTATTCTTCTATAATTTGTTGCAGTTCCAATTTTAGCTTTGTACGTGAAGATACTAGGGCTTAATCAAAATTTTGAAATATTTTCTAATAGTATCTTCACAATCTTTAATTTTAATTTGCAATTCACTGGACTTATCTATTGTTCTCTTTTTAAGAATGGATGAAGAAAAAAAAAGATTTTTCTTTGACTTTTAACAGAAAAGTTTCCAAGGATAAGCTATCGTCAATCTTCAGTTAAACATCAGAGTCATCAACATTTCCACCATTAGATTCCGTATCTAAGTATTTTTCAACTGTATCTCTCAAGATGTTACACTTTCCATTTTGTTCACAAACATGTTTAGTTCACAAAGGTAAAACCCCAGTCATCTTCTGTTATGGGTTGTTATGGCGTTTCCAATCACATTTCCTTACATCGGAAACTCTTGAACCGATAACACGTCGAACATCTTTTTGTCTGTAATCCCAAAGGAGCAATATCTGGATTCAGGCATTAGACGTGTTTTTGACGTTGATCAGTCAAGCGTTTCACATGCAGGTGTCAGGTGCACCATACGCTCAGCTGTAATCGCACAATGTCCGCCCGTGGTTGAATGTGTGTAACAGTGGCATGCTTCTGCGTATCCATATTAGTGTCATTACGTCAAGTAATATCACTTTAAATTGAAACACTGAATTTATAAGCAGCTATATATGACAAAAGCATGACGTCTAACAAAGAAAGGACGCACATTCCGGTTTGAACTAGACAAGTGTGAGTTAAGATTTATAGTCACATTAGCAATATTTCAGCCATATCGTGACGAAAACAAGTTTACATTCACCATAAATACATATAAATTATAAAATAACCTGTCAACGAAAAAAAAGTAAACACAACAAGAATAACACAGATATGAATATAAAACTGGTATGTTAATCTGAAACAGTTTAACTATAGAAGACGATGCAATATAAAACAAACAGGCCATAGATTGCCAACAACTAAATGTAGATCGCCATACTAGGGACCATGGGGACTTACAGTACTTTTGTTTCCTGCACGGACCCTAGCAGGACTTACACCACCCCATCAGCTGTTAGAGCCAAGTACTGTAACTGTCAGCTTCATTCAGTTTGCTTTCTGTGTCCCTTGGGAATGGGCTCGTGCGCTGTGAGCTAGTAAAACTACCAGTGTGAAAGTGAGTGGATAACTTTAATATCCGTGTGCGTGTTGGTACTATTAGTGAGTGAGTGAGTTAGAATTTAACGTCACCTTAGCAATATTTCAGCCATATAGTGACGAGAAATGTTTTATATAAATAATGAATTAAAGTTGCTAAAGAATCAGTCAGCGAAGGACTGTAAAATAACTAGAGTATCACAGATGGAGTCTAAAACTAGCATGAACATGTAAAACTATTTTATTTACGAAGACAATACAATATAAAAACGGGCTATAGATCGCCAACAACTGAAGGTAGATCACCATACTAGGAACCATGGGGACTTACATTACTTTTGCTACCTGCATGGACCCTAGTTGGATTTACACCATCCCTTCAGCCATTGGCGACAGAAGAGAAATCTAGCCATAAATTAAAAACACACTTATTCTACGATTAAAAAGCAGGTACACTTAGATTGACTAAATGTTTTGAGACTTATGTACCCTCTCAGGAGGACAATAATTTTACAATACTTCAACCCCCCTTTGAGGATACAGCCACTAACAATCTCAGCTACTAATCTAAACTACCAATAATAAAATATATATCTATTTACAAATCACTCAACAAATCTAATTTTTATAAAAATGCAATAATTAAATGAGAACTGACATTATTAAAAAGATCCTTCTGAGTTTTGGGATTTGAAATAGATATCCCTTGTGATGGAATATTCAATGCAGTCAAGCAAGACATGCTTGACCGTGATCCTTTCATCACAAGGGATACAAAACGGAGGATCTTCACCTTTCAATAAATATTCATGAGTATATCTGGTATGGCCAATGCGACATCGTCGCATAATGACCTCTTCAAATCTGGACTGACAACCCAAGTAGGTGTAACCAATGTAGGGTTTTATTGCATGTAATTTATAAATACCTACTTGGGTGTCCCACTTCTTTTGCATTAGATCGCGGATGTATGTTCTAATGCTGGCTTTGTAATCAGAGTATGGGATAAGAAGTGGTGTCACAGATTTGTTGAGGGCTGCCTTAGCAGCAATATCAGCCATCGTGTTCCCAGAAATGCCAACGTGGCTGGGTAACCAACAAAAGACGATGTCGCATTGGCCAGTAGCAAGCTCATTATATAATTCAATAATTTCTAATAAAAATGGATGTTTACAAGAAATATTTTTAATAGCCTGAAGGCAAGAAAGTGAGTCAGAACAGATGATATATTGTTGATATTTAGGGTGATTTTTAATATATTTTAAGGCTGTTAATATGGCGTTTGCTTCTGCTGTAAAAATAGAGCTGTTATCTGGTAATCGAGAGGAGATTGTTCTGGATCCAATGACAGTGGCACAAGCCACCGCGCCACATCCTTGGACCCATCTGTAAATAAGGATTTGTAAGTATTATATTTATTTTTTAATTGATTATATTCTTGTTTATATTGTAATTCATTAGTTACAGATTTCTTAAACTTTGTCAGAGTTAGGTCAACTTCAGGCCTCACCAGTTGCCAAGGAGGAGAAGAAAGAAGACGGGAAGGAGATATATTTTCCAGCTCAATGCCAGCAGCAGAAATGAAGGGCTTAATTCTGTGCCCAAGAGGCGGAACAAGAGAAGGTTTTTTGGTGTATAAATCCTCATAGAGGGGATTGAAAACACAGTTAAATGCAGGGTTAGACTCGCTAGAATATAGTTTAGTAATGTATTGTAAAGATAATTTTATATGACGTTGTGAAAGAGAAGGCTCATCTGCTTCAACATATAGACTATCAATAGGAACGGTTCTAAAGGACCCAAGACAAAGTCTTAGGCCTTGGTGGTGGACAGAATCTAATAGTTTTAGGTTGCTTTTGCAGGCTCCACCATATACGATGGAGCCATAATCAAGTTTGGAGCGTACCAATGATCGATATAGGTGGAGGAGCGTAGCTTGATCCCCTCCCCACTTTGAGTTGGAAACAACTTTCAACAAATCGAGTGCCTTCAGGCATTTGGCTTTAAGTGATTTAATATGCGGCAAAAAGGTTAAATGGGAGTCGAAAATTAGACCCAAGAATTTGGCCTCCTTAACAACTTTGATGGGAGTACCATTTAAAGATAGTTCTGGATCCTTATGGGGCTTATATTTTCTACAAAAGTGTAGACAATTTGTTTTGGACTTGGAAAACTTAAAGCCGTTTTCAAGACACCATTTATTTATTTTATTTAAACACAACTGCAATTGCCGTTCAATAGTATGCATATTTTTACCACGACAAGAAATATTAAAATCATCCACAAAAAGTGATCCATCAATTGAATCGTTTAAAACCTTGGATAAACTGTTTATCTTGATACTAAACAATGTGACAGACAAAATACTGCCTTGAGGGACACCCTGATCCTGATTGTAATGATCAGACAGGGTTGAACCCACTCGGACTTGAAATTGCCTGTCAATTAAAAAGTTGGATATAAATTGAGGCAAACGGCCTCGTAATCCAAAGTCATGTAAATCTTTGAAAATCCCATGTTTCCAAGTCGTGTCGTATGCTTTTTCTAAATCGAAAAAGATCGACACTGCATGTTGTTTATTAATTATTGCACTTTTCACAAAAGACTCTAAACGTACTAAATGATCGATGGTACTACGGTTTTTACGGAAACCACATTGTATATTAGTTGTAAGGTTATTGGTTTCCAAGTACCAAACAAGTCGATTGTTGATCATACGTTCCATGGTTTTGCAAACGCAGCTTGTCAGTGAAATTGGTCTATAATTAGAGGGATCAGTATGATCACGTCCAGGTTTAGGTATGGGAACAATAATAGCATCCCGCCACGACGAAGGAAAATTTCCAGATGTCCAAATGTCATCAAAAATATGTAAGTGCGTCTCTAAACATGATTCAGGTAAGTGCTTCAGGAGTTGATAATGTATGTTATCAGCCCCTGAAGCAGTATCATGAGCCTGATCAAGAGCAGTATGTAGCTCATGTATCGAAAAGGTTTCATTGTAGTCGTCCCCATTATCTGAATTGAAATTAAGAGATTTCTTTTCTTGCTGTTTTTGATATTTTTGGAATGCAGGTAACTAATTAGATGAGGAAGAATGTTTGGCCAACGTCACACCAAGTTTATTTGCAATATCTGATTTATCAGTCAATAACTGAGTCCCATCTTTGAGATGGTGAATGCTACATTTATAGCCCTTACCCTTGATTTTCTGGATCATATTCCACACCTTTGATATAGGTGTGCGCGAATTGATTTTTGAGACATAGTTTCGCCAAGAGTGGCGTTTATTTTGCTTGAAAGAACGTCGTGCTTTAGCGTTTAAAATTTTAAGTTTGTCCAAATTGTGGACCATAGGATGACGACGGAAATAGTGCTCGGCTTTCTTCCGTGCCTTCCTAGCTTGTTTGCAATCATTGTTAAACCATGGTTTTCGTATGTGTGGGTTTGTAGAGGACTTAGGAATACATTCATCGGCAATTTTATTCAGTTCATCAGAGAATAGTTGGACAGGGTCAGCAACATCTATAAACAGTTCCGGTTTTAGGTTGGTTGATGCAAGTATTTCAAATAAAAGCCAGTTGGCCTTAGTAAAGTTCCATCTGGACATTGGAGGAACATCAGATGGAGTTATGGCTTGTAGAAAATGGTCACTTCCACACAGGTCGTCATGGACTGACCATTCAAACTCATTCAGCAGGGTAGAGTCGGTAATGGATAAATCAAGGGAAGAATATGTTCCTGTACCAGGATGTAAATAGGTGTGGGAATTATCATTCAAGATACATACATTGTTATTAGAAATAAAGTCTTCCAGCAGTTTCCCTTTTGTGTTGGTATGTGTACCTCCCCAGAGAGGGTTGTGGCCATTCAAATCACCCATGATGATACAGGGCTTGGGAAGTTGGTCATAGAGTGCCTCGAGATCAACAAGCTGTACAGAGGAGGAAGGGGGAATATAGAGAGAGCACAATCTAAAAACAATGTGCATGGTCACACGAACAGCAACAGCCTGAAGTGTTGTATTCAGAGTAACAGGACTGTGTATTACACCCTGCCTGATTAATATGGAAGATCCTCCAGTGGCTTTTGGCCCCGTAGGAGAAAAGAAGTTGTATGAAGAATATTGTCTTATATCAATTTGATCTGTTTCCTTGAAAAACGTTTCTTGTAGACAAAATGCCGACGGTTTAAAATCTTGTATCAGTAACTGTATATCATTAAAATTATTTTTTAGTCCTCTACAATTCCACTGAATAATGTTATTAGAGCTGCTCATGGAGGTGAAATTGGAGATCGTGACCGGGAGGGAGGTTTATTCCCATGGATGGGGAGGGACGGACTCACGTCCATCTCCAGAGGATCAAATGTATTATGAACCTCTATCTGAGTTGTTGTAGGAGAAGCGATCTCTAAATTTTTGTGCGCCCTCGCCTTTTTTGCTTGCTTTTTTTCTTTACTTGTTAAATGAGTTTTACCGTCTGCGTGAGGGTCATTCTCATTTCTTTGCTGTGGTTCACGAGTATTATCCTGTATGGGTTGAGAGTCTGTCTGAGACGAAAATGTTACTTTCCTCTGAACCGGCTCACTCTGGCATACCTAAAAGAGTTCACTAACCTGAATATGGTCTGTTTTGAGCCAAGAAATAACTGTTTGGCAGAAAACTGATACAGTAGGAACTTTAGTCACAAGAGCAGGCGAGGAAATCGCAGCTGAATAGGTTTTTGTAGACAGGTTCTGGCCAATAGATGGTACCAACTTTTTAGCTTCTTGATAAGTGATGTTATTCGTGTGTTTTATCTTCAGGATACTGGTCTCACGGAGGAAAATTGGACATGATTTTGAGGAAGCCATGTGCTGTCCGCCGCATTTGACACACTTCATGTTGTCTGTACACTCTGAGCTCTCATGAGCACCACCACAGCGGAAGCATGTTGAAATGCCACAGCAAAATTTGGAACCGTGTCCAAACTTTTGACAGTTGTAACACCTGAGTGGGTTAGGTATATAGACCTCCACACTGATGTTGAAGTAGCCGGCTTTAATAGATTTAGGAAGAACTGGAAGTGAGAAAGTGAAGAGATACGTGTTAGTTTTGCTGATAGTACCATCATGTTGTTTCTTCGTAAACCGCTTGACAGCAGTCACTCCTTGACTTTTCAATTCAGCAGCGATTTCCTCTTCGCTCATGTCAGTCAAGCAACGAGCGCGATCTCTGATAATTCCTCGAGTAGAATTCAGTGTTTGGTGCACCGACACAACAATGTTGGTGTTAACAAACTGTTTTAAGGACAGCAGGTTAACAGACTGTTGCCGCAGTGCACATTCCACTAGGAGTGAACCACCTCGTAGACGCGTGACATTTTTTACATCACCACATACACCTTGAATGCCCTTGGAAATAGCAAAAGGGTTCAATTTTAGAGTGTCCCCATCAGCAGGAGCAATGACAATAAACTTTGGCCAAGCATCTACGACGGTAGGAGATACATCATCATCAGAAGACAAAGCCTCAACATGTCGACGTTTGTTTTGTTTTGCGGAACCAGAAGAATTGTTTTGAGACATGATAGAATTAATATGGTTCAGCACCCCTGTTCCCCACCCGCCATCGAGTGTCAACAAAAACGGTGTCACAGGGGAAGCCACACTGCAACACCAGGGCTACAGGGGTGTTATACTCCAGAAATAGAGACATGAAAAGCTGTAGTCACTAAAAGAAGAAATGTCAGGCTGGTTCGGCCCATGGCATTTTCCTTAAAGAAACACAGAAATCAGAGGTCTGTATAACCAGATTGGCCCATGAGCCACCGCCTTCTGGCATACGACTCTAGGCAGTTTCATAGATACATGCAATTATATGATTCGATTTAAAGAGCCAAGACCAAATAATATCTTAAATAGGTGCAGAAATACTCCCCATGCACAGGGCCTGGCGTGACCAGCCGATTGGTAGAACCGGGCCAGTTCTACCACCCGTCTAGGTGAAGTAAGGGTCGAAGTGGTGTGTTGGGCAAAAGGAACACTGTTCCTGGCTCCTTTACCCTCAACCACCAGAATCCCGTCCTCCACCGACACAGGGGCGCAACCCACGGCAAACGGGTTGGTGGACCAAATATCCCCCCGTGTCCACAACGGGGGGTCGAAGGGCGCTTAGCGTTACCCAGCACCCACCACGAGGAGGTGGCCCTTCATGGGTGCCGGTCTGATTGGATTTGGGGCGTACCAGGAAGTGGTTCTGCAGTTTGTGTAGATATTGCAGGTGAGAATATCAGAGGAGAATCAGATTTAACCCAGGTCAAGTTTGTTTGACAGCATGCAGATGATTTTGTTATTCTAGTTGTTGCTTCTGACTGTGTTCTGGTGATAGAAGCATAGCTCTCTTTATGCTCGGAGCTTTGAACTAGTTTTTTTGCATCTGCAAAACTAATGTTTTGGGTGAATTTGATTCGATTTATCTCCATTTGACGTTTCCAAACAGGACAGCTTTTGGAGTAAGAGGAATGATCCCCTGCACAGTTTGTACATTTTTTGACAGTACTGTCACAATCTTCTGTTGTATGTGTCTTCTCACCACAGTGAGCACATACAACAGACAATTTGCAAGTATTTACGCTATGACCGAACTTTT